CTAGAAGAAGAAGTCTTTAGAGAGAGAAGTAGATCCCAAGCTTGATCCTTAGAGTTGAGCCGTTAGATCCGTGCTTTGAGGTTAGATTCTTGATCTATTCTTGTCGTTCTTATTGATCATCTAGCTGCATTGCATGATCGAGATGATGTTGTACTGTACTATTCTAATAGGGATTAAGTCCCTGTCCTGAATGATTGTATATATTGTACATACTGTTTGGTACTGATTGTATATGCGTCTTGAAAAGTCTTTTTGCATACAGACTGTCACAGCTCAATGGACACCTTTTATTTACTGTATTGGCTTCCGCCAGGCCCTGTACTCTGTTATTATTCTACTGTTCAGCAGGCCTTCGGTAATCTCGGATTACTGGCCGGTTACGGTGCTAAACCCATAGGGCCGGGTTTGGGTCGTGACATCAAATACATTCCTTCCATCGATCAAGTAGCTGATATTTTCACTAAGCCTTTATCTGCCTCTCGATTTCATTATCTTCAAACCAACCTGTTGGTCTGCACACCTCCCATCAGCTTGCCGAGGGATGATAAGCATATCACATCAGCAACAGCTCCAGCTACATCAGTAGCAGCTCCAACTACTCTTGGCTCAACCACATCAGCAGCAGCTCTAGCTATTCTTGGCTCACCTCATACACTCAAGAGATAGATTTAGCACATGTTAAATGTCATTGTATAACTGTGTAACTGTATTCTCCCGTATTAGATGGAATTAGTTAGTTAGTTATCAGTTTCTGTATAAATACACAAGTGTATCTTCATATTCATTTTAATGTGAAAGAGATCTTCAATAATTCTTCAAATCTACGTTAGAAGATCTTGTCTCCATCACAAAGGAATCCAAACTGAAGGAATTGGATAGCCCTGTCCCGTATGAGAGAAAATTAGTTGGTGAAATGCCCAGTAAGTATTGAAATGTGTTTAGCGGCATAGGAATCTCTAGTGCTCTTTCCAACATTTTCAGCATAACACTCATCAAAGGCCTCAATTCAAGCCTATATTGCACGTAACACAAAGCTACCTTTACCATTCTATGTGCAATCTCCATGTCATTCTTTTCAATTCCAATGACTATCATCAATTCATCTTGTTCTCCTTTCTCAAAGTTATTCCACACCAACTTTGGGAACTACTCTTGATTTTCTGGAAGATTAATATTGAGGTTCCTTCTCCGCCTAATGATCTCAAATAAAAGCATTCCAAAGCTATAAACATCACACTTGTGGGTTATAGGAAAGGGCATCCAAAGTTCAAGTGCAGCATAACCAGGAGTACCCCTTCCCTCTGTCATTGTTACATGGGTATTTTCTCAATTATGGAGTTTTGCTAATCCAAAATCAGGCACTTCAGGTGCAAATTTTACATCCAACGGGATATTACCCAGTTTGATATCATAGTGAATTATTCTTTGTTGACATTCTTCATGCAAATATGCAATTCGTCTTGCGGTTCCTATTGCAATTTCATGGAGTTTCTCAAATTCTATGAAGTTATTCTCAACAAACAAGTACTTTTCTAGTGAGCCATTAGCCATGTACTCATAAACCATTGCCCTCAAGTGTTTATCAAAGAAAAATCCATCGAAACGAACAAGGTTAAGATGATGGATTCTACCAATAGCACTTACTTCTACCATGAATTGTTCCTTTATCCGTTTATTTGAGAAACCACTTAGAACTTTCACTGCTACTATAGTTCCATTTGCCAAAGACCTTTTATACACAACACCAAAACCTCATAAACCAAGCGTGTGTTGCTATAGTTATTTGTTGCAATTTTAGGCTGGTGAGAGGAAAACTTGATAGGTGTCTCTTTTTCCATATCATCAAGGAATTTGTCAATAGCTAATGATGGCAAATACACCCAGTTTGGAATAATACATGTTATAACCTTCCTTAGCATGTTTGTCGTACGAATTGCCACTACGAAAAATCCGACAACTGCCAAGTCCATGAACAAAATTTGAATCCTAGGCAATTCATCTTATTATGCAAAAATAAAACCAAAGTTGAAAAACAATAATGGAAAATCTTACCTAAAAGTGAGAAAACTACGAGTCTGATTCCGATTGCCCAAAACATGGAGTTTGAGGTCATTCTCAAGTACAAAAGATACAAAAGCTACCTAAAGTTTAACAAGAGGAATGGTAAACAACAATGTTGGTCTCAAAACAACAAAGAAACCAAAGCATTTTCAGCAAAAGTAATGTGCAATGCAGCAACACACAAAGTATAAGCAAAGTTAATGTTAGTTCTTATGGCTAGCCAAGAAATAGTGTTATTTTTACCATATGAAGTTATACACAATCTGAAGAGATGCTAGGAATATCCTACATTAGATTCTTCATTTGGATAATTTGAGGATTTAATGCATAGCATTAGTGATTATTTGTCAATCTTTGTAAATATATAATATGATGATAACAATGTAACATTATTCAACTATTTCGTTTGAAAACAGTAGAGCTATGTATATATTTAGCGTGGACTCTATTGGTACGAATGTGACATTTAACTAGAATAATTAATGTTGGTAAATAAAAATAGTAGAGCTATATACATAATTAGTTTGAACTCTATTGGTATGAATGTGATATTTTACAACAATGTTGGTTAGTTATTGAGTTAGTGAAAAACTAGGTTAGTTTAGTTGGCCTACATACTTCTATTGATGGTCAGTCAATGGTAAATATTTATTATTGTCTCTCATTTATATATTTCTCTTCAAGTTTGGACTATTTCATGTGATGATTGTTGGGCTTGGTGGTTGTTAGATGTTAATGCAATTATTTTCATATTTGTAATAAATCTCCCACTGATTGACCAAAAAAAAAAATAGACGAGGTGGGGTTGGGGGAGCAATGCTACGCCACTTGAGAGAAATAATAAAAATGACTTAAGAAATGATAATATTATTTTTCATTCATACGATTAATGAATTATTAATAAAAAATAACTTAATTATTATGTAAATTAAAACTTCAAAAGAGGTCAGTATAATTATATCAAATGTGTGGAACTAATTATATTTTTTTCAAACTTTAGGAGAGGCGAGTGTAATTTACCATTTTTTTTAATTTTTAGATTTTTCTTACACTAAATGGAGTTGAAAAGTTTTAAAAAACACACACACACCCACACACAAATTCAAAAAAAAATCATTAAAGACAAATTTTTTTTTTTAAACATGTGAATTTTTAGTTGGATGTCAAAGGAGGAGTAAAAAATTAAAATTACTTTGTACAAAAAAAAAATATATATATATATATATATAGGGTTTATTACACTTTCTATCCCTAAATTATGACCGAATTATCTACCCAGTTCCTAAACTATCGATTGAGTCTACTAAGTCTCTAAAATACATAAATCAGAACATATTTAGTTTCTAAACTATCGATCAAATCTATTAAGTCCGTAAAGTACTTAATTCAAACATGGTTATTGAAAGGATTACGAAAATAAAATATAAGCTTATACATATTATAAATTGATAAAGACCTTATCGAGTTAAAATTTTATTTTAAAAAATCTTATAATTTTATTTTGTCTTGGCTACCTAGATTGCCTTTATCTAGCATTATATATCGAATTTTGTTTACAATTTCTAATTGATTGTCTTTAAGTTTTTCATTAAATTCTTTTTATAACTTAATTAATGTATTAGTTTGTTCTATTATTATTTTTAACAAATTGTTATTATTTAAATTATTTGATTCTGCTTCTTCAGTATACCTAATACTCATATAATTTTATTGGCAAGGCTAACAAACCAAGCTCTTATACTAATTTAAATATAGTGAAACAAAACACTTTTAGGACAAAATATAAATTTTTAGAATTTTTCAAATAAAATCTTAATTAGGTAGGGTCCTTTACTGATTTAAAATACTTATGAATTTATATTTTATTGTTTTAATTCTTTCAGGGACTAAATATGTTTAAATTAAATACTTTAGGGACTTAATGGATTAAATCGATAGTTTAAGGACTAAATAAATTTTGATTTCTATACTTTAGGGACTTGGTAGACTCAATTAATAGTTTAGGGACTAAGTAGAGAATCTAGCGATAGTTTACAGGTAAAAAATGTAATAAACCCAAAAATATAATACCTACGTTATCTCTCTAAATGAAAAGTAAATAAATTTTAATCATTATTTCTCCCAACAACGAGTTTTTTTGAGTTTTCAATTCGTCTTTTTGTTTTAATTGACCTTTTTAATAGAGTGTTACTAAATGCCTTTACTTTTTTACTTTGGACGTCCCATGACTTCTTTTTCTTTTCTTTTTTTACAATTTTATGCTAACATCAAATTCCAATTTTGTCTGCATCTCTACCCTCGAAGTCTAACCCTAACCCTAATCCCACCACCACTTCCACTCTTACTGACAGCCTTCGACGACCAACCCTCCTCCTTCATTTTCTTCCTCTGGTGAGCCCTCTCTCCACAATAACACTTTTTCTCTTTTCGACGACCTTTTTTCCCATTACAACTCCCACTCATCTTCATTTACCAACAATGGTTTTCCCTAACTCAATTACTTCACGATCTTCATCCTTACAACAACCACTCCCCATGATCCTTCTCATACTTCGGCAAGCAACCCAGCTAGTCGCTTGCTTCTACAACTACTTTTGTCGCTATTTGGATAACTAGATTCAAACAAAAGGTTGGTGTACGATATTATGTATTTGAGCAAAAAGAATTTGTTCGAACATGGTCAACCGAAGCCGAACAAAGTGCATCTGTTCAGTTGTGGAGTACCAAACATATTCAAAAAGATCAGCTCTGTGTAGCTGAACGAAAAGAGAGATAAGAGATAGATTGATATAGAGAAGGGTGAAAGAGAAGAAGAAGAAAACAAAAAACAAAAAACCAAAAAAAAAAAGGGTTCAAGTAGAGTTAGGGTTTTGAGATGTGGGGCACTAGTGGAGAAAAACTAAGAAGGTTAGTGGGTGGCTGGGGCTTACAATGGGTAGGTTAGGCTGGTAGCGACACGACCGAAAGTAGGTTGTAGGTAGTGGCCGAGATGAAGAAGAAGGTGGTCAAAGTGGCAAAATGATGGGGAAAAAGGGTTGCCAAAGGAATAAGTATGAAGGGTGAAGGTGCATAGAAAAGCATTAGGATCTTCTAGAGTATTTCCCTGAAATTATATGGTGAAGTGAGTTAAGCAAAGCGCGGCACCTATCCCACTAGAAGAACCAAGGGTTAAGATCAAAACCTCGCTCAAACGACGTCGTTTTGGTGAGTAAAAAAAAAAATCAAATTTCCCTTCGTTTTAGTCGTTCAACAACAGAGGTGAGAGAGAATAAGAGAAAAAGAAAGAGATGAGGGGCTGAAGAAGAAGCTCACCCTATTGCCGCTGCCCTGCCCCCTACCGCACGACGTCTTACCCTACTGCCGACGAAGCTATTCAGACCTCTAACTTCAACAAATTCGAAATAAAACGGGTTCATCCTTCAAACTATTTCAAAAATTTGGGTTTCGTTTGAATGGTAATGGTAATATAAGTTTGTTGAATGTGTTGATTGAGAGATTCTTACATGGTTTATTTCAAATCTATTCTTAGAGTTTTGATTTGGGGCTTTTTACATGATTTATTCAAATCTATTTTTGGGTAAAAAAATTAGGCTTTTGATTTGTGGCTTTTTTCATGATTTCTTTCAAATTAACATTATTTTGATTAATCTTTTGATTTCTTTCATGTTTTCTGTGT